CCGGAGAAAAACCAAAAAACCAAAAAAAAAAAAAAAAAAAAAAAAAACAAACAAATACATGAGGTCTTCATTTTCTAATGCTTTTAGTTTGTTTCTCCAGCTTTTTGTAGTTTTTATTGTAGAAGCCTTTTGTCTCCGTGATTGAGTCCTAGATATTTGATTTTTTTGAAGTTATTGTGAATGGAATTATTATCCTGATTTCTCTCTCGGTAGGCTCATTGGTATCTAGGAATGCCATTTTTTTCAAACTTTATTTTATGAAAAATGAAAATTTCCTAACAGAAGAATAGGATAAAAATAATGTGCTATGTGCTGTTATCTTCAAAGTATTTACTCAGAGTACCAGACAGAAATCAAAAAGTAATGAGCAGACGAGTTAAAAAATTTCCGAGATGAGACTTAATTCAGACGAAATCCCGTGTCTTTTCAGGTTGCTGACGGTTAGAAGCATGCTTTCCGCTGCACTTCCCGACACCGCTTCTGTGCAGGATGTCTCTGAGTGAGAACGCGGTGTTTGCCTACGAGTCTTCAGTGCACAGCACCAACGTCTTGCTCAGCCTCAATGAGCAGCGGAAGAAGGATGTGCTGTGCGATGCCACTGTCTTCGTGGAGGGCCAGCGCTTCCGTGCCCACCGCTCGGTGCTGGCAGCGTGCAGCAGTTACTTCCATTCGAGAATCGTAGGCCAGGCTGACGCGGAGCTTAATATCACTCTTCCGGAAGAGGTGAGCGGTCCACCTTTCTTGTGATTGTCATTTAATTTTATTCAAACATTTCTTGGTTTATGAAGTTAAAAGTAAAGCAGTCTCCCAGTCAGGTGACTGGGGAACATTTCTTAGTTTCTTAGCAGCAAGCCATTTGTTTGTCTTTTTTCACGGTAGTGGTTACATTCATATGTAAAATCATTAATTTTGGATGTCGATATTTATTGAGCAGTGGAATTGAGTCCCACTGTTAAATTATTTTTAATAAAGTGACTTAAGCCAGGGTGCACCTAGTGTGTTAAACATTTTGAAAAGTCTTGGCTGAAAGATGGTGCTGTGTGACTTTTCCTCTGAACCTTGTCCTGTGATGGGCAGCTGTAACTGGGTTTAGGGCTCTGTAAATCATTTCCCAAGATATTCGCCTATGCAAAGTAGGTGCTCCATAAGGATTTTCTTCCTTCCTTCTTACCTGAGAGTATTTGTATGTTTTGGTAGAAGAAAGAAATTGTGCCTTATTTATGGAGCCTTGGTTGTACATATATCTTTTCTCCTAGGTTATTGTGGAGCTCAAGCTCATAAATATTTACATCTTTGTTAACGTCCTGACTCCAAGAGATCTCTCTCTTGGGCAGAGGAGTGCTGGTTACGCTGACTCTTACTCAGACAGTTTGCTTTATTTAGTTGCTAATGGCTAGCAGAGTGTCAAGTCTGTGCATTTGGGGCCCAGAAGTGTTTAAGGGTAATATGGAGTGTGTGGAACTTCTGTGTCTGACCTATCTGTGTGAGATGTTCCCTGCTGGATACCGTTAGGTAAATTATGAACTAAATTAGGGTGTAGCTTGTTGTTAGCTATGCATAGTTCCATGAAATTTTGACTGTGTTTTGGGAGTGAATAGGTTATCATTTCTGTGGCAGGGATCAGAGTGAAGGAGGGAATACCAAGAAGTGACCAAGGTCGGTTGTAGACTAGCCATTGATTTTGCAAAGGAACACAAATCATAATGGAGACATACTCATTATTATGGTTCATATTTTCGAATTACTGAATGAGTCTTTCCAACTAGAACAAAGTGTAACTCAGGCGTTTGTGAGGAGAGATACATGTGTGCATGTATGTTATGTATTCTAATTTCAAGTATAAATCTTAAATTTTCAAACATTTGAGGTCTTTTATCAGAGTAACAGGTTGAAAACACTGTTATATAACCTACTAGTTTAAAATTCTTTTTTGGTATTTTAACTTATTTTAGAAAATTTTAATTGAAATCTTGGTAAGTAGTTATAAATACCTACACAGCTATAAAAAATAATGCAGAGTTCCCAGTTTGACCAGTATCCTCTGGTGGTGACATTTTGAAAAGAATACTGTATAATGTTACAGCTGGATATGGATGTTGATGCAGCCCACTTAGGGTATTCAGATTGCTGTCATTTTACTTGCTCTTATTTCTGTGTGTATTTATTAGTTTTACAATTTTCTTCCCTGTGGCGGTTCTTCTGTGTTCCACAGTTAAAATACTGAACAGTTGCCTTAACTAAGGATCCTGGCTGTTGGCCGTTTGTAATTATGTCTGCTTCTTCCCACCCTTGTCCCGTACTCCCTGAAGATCTTTCTACCCTTGATTGTCACCAGCCACTAACCTTCCTTTTTCTAAAGTTTTCTCTTTTTAGAAATGTTATGTAAATGGACTTAAGTATGTAACCTTTTGGGATTGACTTTTTCCACCTAGCACAGTTCCTTTGAGATTTATCCAGGAGTTGTGTATCAATAGTGTGTTCCTTTTTATTGCTGAGTAGTAGTCAATAATATTAATGGATCACTGGGGTTTTTTTGGTTTTAACATTTTATATATTGAAGGAGATGAAGCTATTTGCAGTTTTTGACTATACCAAATAAAGTTGCTGTGAACATTTGTGTACAGCTTTTTGTGTGAACATAAGTTTTCATTTCTTAGGGAGGATGAGGAGTGCTATTGCGGGTCATATGGCAGCTGTATTTTAGTTTTATATGAAAGCACCGAACTGTTATTCAAAGTGTCTGTGCCATTTCACGTTCCCACTGGCACTATGCGAGTGATCCATTTTCTCTGTGTAGCATTTGGCGGTATCACTATTTTTATTTTAGCCATTTAAAAGTTAAATATCCAAAGCTTAGCCTGAGTTTTAAAAAGTCACAAATTAAATTAAAAATATTTGGTCATTCCTATAGAAACTCAGTGTTTTAAAATAATTTTGTCAAGTAACCCAGAAGAAAACTTTCTCTGCATTAGAGCAGGTTCCATTTGCCGCTCCTCTTGAAGAGGCAGGTGCCCTGTGCAGGTTTCTGCCTGAAGCTTCGTCTTGTAGAATCCATGCAGAAATAGTACTGAGATGTGACTTTCAGAACTTCACCTAGATCACTTTCAAAATCTGGGCCTTTTAAAATTTTATTACTAGAAATTTTTGGCATGAGATGCAGTACTTACCTTACTGTGCATGAATCAAGAGTTCTTTGTGTTTTACTTGTTTTTATCTTTAAAAATTTTAGTTTCATAGTTTGTAGCAGTTGGGTTGCTTGGCCATATGGAGCTGGCCTAGGAGTGGGTACCTGACACTTCCTGTGCATAGGTTGTGCATGGAGTCCATACTCCTTCATTTCGTAGATAGTTATTTTATTTCCCCTATCATGGGAAAATTGTCTAGATCATGTGAATAAACCGTAGCTCATATATGATTAACAGTGGGGTCTATAAAGCGGATGGCATATTTGGCTAGGGTGTGATAAGCATGTGCATCTAGCCTTCCTTACTTTTATATTTCCTAGAAGAATATTTTTCTTAATACCTGTTTTATAATTGTTACAAATATGTTATATATCTCTCTATTCCCTTTCTGCTTCTCTTGTCACCTACTAGAGAGCTTTCAAGTAATGTTATTTTTATTCTGTATTTTAACAGGTGACAGTTAAAGGATTTGAACCTTTAATTCAGTTTGCCTATACTGCTAAACTCATTTTAAGTAAAGACAATGTGGATGAAGTATGCAAGTGTGTGGAATTTTTAAGCGTACACAATATTGAGGAATCCTGCTTTCAGTTTCTCAAGTACAAGTTTTTAGACTCCACTGCAGACCAGCAGGAATGCCCAAGAAAAAAGTGCTTTCCATCACATTGTCAGAAAACAGACCTTAAGTTTTCACTTTCAGACCAGAAGGATCTAGAGATTGATGAAGTTGAGGAATTTCTAGAAGATAAAAATGTTCAGACTCCTCATTGTAAACTCCAGAGGTATCAAGAAAATGTAAAAACATCACCTCCCCTACAAGACAGCGCCAGCCAAACGTGTGAATCCATGTGCATGGAGAAGAATGCTGCTCTGGCTTTGCCGTCTTTATGCCCCAAATACAGAAAGTTCCAAAAGGCATTTGGAACTGACAGAGGCCGCGCTGTGGAATCCGGCATCAAAGATGTTCAGGCTTCTTCTGTTCAGTCAAGTGAGACATCTGAAAATGAATGTTTGGGGAGCGTCCAGGATTGTGCAGATTTGCAGGTGATTCTGAAATGTGAAGAAAGTAAGTTGCCAGTGGAAGAGACAGCAAAGAAGAAAGAGCCTGCTTTTCAGGTTTCAACAGAAAAAGCAGAAGGGACTGCTTTCCCCCACAGTTCTGCAGACCCGCACGGGCTCTACTCTCTGTCTCTTTTACACACGTATGACCAATACAGCGACTTGAGTTTTGCTGGTATGCAGGGCGCAGCAGTGAAAACAGAAAAACCTTTGTCAGGTACAGGTGTTCCAGAAGAGAAAGCATTTGCTGAAAGTCAAGATTTACCTTTGAAAGATGACTCAGGCCCCAAGGAAGACGGCAGCCTTGCATCCAGCGATCGGAGTAGCGTGGAGCGAGAAGTAGCAGAGCACCTAGCAAAAGGCTTCTGGAGTGACATCTGCAGCACGGATTCCCCTTGCCAAATGCAGTTATCACCTGCTGTGGCCAAAGATGGCTCAGAACAGATCTACTCTCAGAAACGGTCTGAGTGTCCCTGGTTAGGTATCAGGATCAGTGAGAGCCCAGAGCCTGGTCAGAGGACTTTTACAACGTTAAGTTCTGTCAACTGCCCTTTTATGAGCACTCTGAGTACCGAAGGGTGTCCAAGCAATTTGGAAATCGGAAACGACAGTTACGTTTCAGAGCAGCAGGAACCTTGTCCGTATGCTTGTGTGATTAGCTTGGGCGATGACTCAGAGACAGACACAGAAGGCGACAGTGAATCCTGCTCAGCCAGAGAACAGGAATGTGAGGTGAGCAGGGGTATATTCCTAATTCATCGTCGTAGCAACCATTAATCAGGATTTACTGAGACCGCTCCCACTGCACCACTAGGGATATGAGCAGGCTCAGGCAGGGAGGAGGAACTCACACACTATTAGTTACAGGACCATGTGACAAATACCAGAAGAATGAGATGCAGTTTGAAAGATGTCTGGGTTCATATATTTTAAGTAGGTTTGTTTCTATCAACCATGGAGTAGATTCACACACTGGCTGTATAACTGTGTAAGTCAAATGTTTCCCAAGAGGAAAAAGAATGATAATTCCTTCATCATTACTGGATGACTCCTGGTAAAATGTATCATATATTCAGCATTACTCATTGCCACAAGGACCTCTGGACCTGGGATTATTCACTGAGCCATTGTTTGGCAGTGACTAATCGTAGAAATGTGGCTTCTAACATAAAGTTTTCTTGGACCTGATTTTTCATGACCATTGCTTTTTTTCTTTCTTTTTTCCTTTAACCCCACCCTCTTTTTCCTTCAGCCATGTTAACTTTTAGTTAAACAAATACCTTAACTGAATGAGTTACATGTAGCTAGTATGTTATTAATTATACCAAACTTGACCTGTGTACTCTGTATATAAAAGTTTGTGATTAGTAGCTACTTTTTATAAAATATTAAAATATATCCCATATAAGCACCTGTTCTCTTTTTAACATGTTCCCACTAGCTTGAACCATTGGTGGTACATGTATGACCATCTCATTGGTACAAATGGATTTAATCGCATTCATCAGTCTTCTTACTAATAATACTAATAAACTACTCGATGTCATGCATGTACCACCGGTGGTTCAAGCCGCCCAGCAGCGAAGACATGTGAATTAACAGCCCTGTCGTGAATCTGGTTTTTAAAAATTGCAGTTTTGTTTAGTTTTCTGAAGTTGAATTTTCTCTTTATAGCTGGAACTTATACTTTCTTTTTACAATTTTTAAAAAGCTTACCACATTTTTTCTTTCTTTGCACTTTCTTGTTTTATTGTGAGAATGTGAAAACTACCCTTGTAACAAAATTTTAAGTGTACAATACAGGGTTAACTACAGGCACAATATTGTATAGCAGGCCACTAGAACTTACTTAAATGAAACTTTGTTCATTGAAAGGTAACTCCTTGTTTCCCTCTTCCAGCCCCTGTAGCACCATTCCATTTTGTCTCTAGGAATTTGACTATTTTTCGTAGTTCTCATTTGTGGGCCTCATTCTTGGGATCATGTAGTTTTTTTATTTGGCCTATTTCAGTTAGTGTAATGTTCTCCGGGTTCACCTGTACTGTTAGAAGATGCCAGATTTCTTTCTTTTTATAAGACAGAGTAGTAGGCTATTGTGATAGACACCACATTTTCTTTATTCATTTGTGCCTGGATATTCAGTTTATTTCTATATTGTGGTTATTGTGAACAATGCTTCCGTGAATATAGAAGAGCAAATATCCTCTGAGATACTGATTGCGATTCCAAACCTAGTGTGGGGTTCCTAGATCATATGGTGGTTTTATGTTTCAGTTTTTGAGAAGCTTTCATACTGTTTTCTTTAGCAGTTGCACTGTTTTACGCTACTGATAATTACTGTTCATTTTTAATTTTTTTAAATTTTTTGGTACTGAGAATCGAACTCAAGGCCTTGTGCTTGCCAGGCAGGTGCTACGCTGGCTTTTACACTGATCCAGTGTACAAAGATCACATTGAGTTGCATCCCTGGCCTTTACACTACTACGAGTGTAGAAAGATTCTAGTTTTTCCACATTTCATTCTTCAGCTTTTTCTTTGGTTTTGTAGCTAGCTATTAGATGACGTAAGTTTGAAAGCAGCTGTTTCTTTTTTCTCTGGAAGTAGATTGGTGATTTAATTTAAAAATAATATGTAGATATTTTTAATTTAGTAATAACATGTAGATATTTACATCTGTGTATTTATATGACATTATAAATTATTTAAAATTATACTGTAAAAAAATGTCAAAAGTAACATCA